CGGGTGGGTGATGCAAAAAACGAAAAAAACAGAAAATAGAAAATTAAAAATTAAAAAAAAAAAAGATTTTTCTTTTTGAAATACAAAAAAAAAGTAATTTTTTTTTGAGGGGGCAGGGTGGGTGGATGGTGCAGACAAACAAAAGAATATAAAATTAAAAATACAAAAAAAAAAAGTAAAATTAGGGCAACTAAATAAATTTCTATATAAGTTGGGAGATACCTTTTGTTTTGGGTGAGTTTCATGGGTTATATTTGGGCTGCTTAATGGGTTAGAATGGGCTATAAAATATAATGGGTTAACTTGGGCTCAGCCAAATTGACCCATGAGCTAAAATGTTTGTAACGTACCCAACTCATTAATCTCTAGACAGGTTGGGCGGGTTAGATGGGTTTGAGCTCAAATTGTCACCCTATCGTTCTTTTTGAAATGTAATGTCATTCTTTTTTGAAGTATGGGAATAGATATGGTCTTTGTATGAATTCAGATATTTGAACAATACTTTTCATTAAATCTATTGGCAGACTCTGATGGCAATTACTCACGTTTCAAGAGAAATCAAGACGAGAAAAATGCAGTATGAGGATATGAAAACCGTGGACTACAATAAAATGTTGGTTTTGTCACTAGGCACGGGTACAGGCACGAATAAAGAAAAGTATAATGCCCGCTCGGCTTCAAGATGGGGCGTACTTGGTTGGATGTACAACAATGGTGCCACCCCATTGCTAGATATTTACAGTGATGCAAGTACAGATGTTGTAGATATACATGTTTCAACCATGTTTCAGTCCCTTCACAACGAGAAGAACTACCTCAGAATTCAGGTTTGATATCAACTTGAAGTTTTATATAAACATTCCTCTAATTAACACACACACATATATATGCGGTTTTCATGATGATGACATAATAAATTTGTACAGAACGATACTTTGACCGGAGAGGCAGCATCAACGGATATTTCGACCATAAAAAATATGCAGACGCTAGTGCAGGTTGGTAAAGATCTACTGAAGAAGCCAGTGTCAAGGGTCAACTTGGAGACGGGCCGCTTTGAAGCAGTTCATGGGGAAGGCACCAATGAACAAGCTCTTATTCGATTTGCTAAGTTGCTTTCAGAGGAAAGGAAGCTCCGACGATTAGAGGGTGCTTATTAAAATTGGTGACCTAAAGCTAAACTTCATGAAAAGTTATTAAGTTTATTTTCATTTATATTATGTTTCACTTTGAACTTCAGTTCTTTAGCTATTGGAGATGCAAAATACTTCTTGGATTTTGTTATCATCTAAATCAACTAGTAACTGAGAATTTGTTCTCTTAAAGAACACTCCCATATATCTTGATCTATAGACTTTTAAATTTTAGAAAAGATAATAGTAGTAATATGTGAAAGTAGAAGAGGCATGAATTGTCGATCTTTCTTTTTATAACTAAGTACTAGACTAGTTTGTCAATTAGTGGACTGCCTGAATAACCGAGATAAAACGTAAAGACTAAAAGTAAAGTGCAAAATTAAATGACACAGAATATTTTATACTGGTTCAGATTTAATGTAAATCCTACTCTAGCCCCCTTGTGTTGCAAGGGTGTTATCTCTTCAAAGCTCCTGATAAACCTTCGTACATATATGTTGATGTTGTTGCGAATACCAACTCACTTTAGATACTAAGTACACTCGTCGTATTGATGATGCAATGCCTTACCAATATTTTTCTCTCTTTCTTCTCTCTACTAGTTACACGGTAAACTAAATTCAGATTATAATGCTTGTTTAGAGTAGAACAAGGAGCGCGAAGTTCGTTTGATCAAAGTATGTCCTTTTTCTAGACCAACACACACATATATATGCTTCATGAATTCTTCTTTAATTCTTGATTGTTGTGAATCTGGAGAGATTACATAACCAAGAGAATTGATCCTTGGAACGAATAGTAAAGAATAAGTGTGGAGCTTCCGTTGATTTGTCTTGGCTCGTGATCTTGTTAAAGTTTTCCTTCGCTACGCAGATCTTCCTTTAATTCAGGTAACCAGAAATAGATCCCTTGATTTCAGGAGTTGACAATCTTCCAAGGATAGATAAATCTTTAATGCAGATTTAAAGCAATCTTAACTTCCTCTGATTTTGGTCCTTTCTCTAATATCTTCCATCAATCCGCTGTCACATCACTTATTTTTTGCTGCTCCTTCCTTTCTTGTCTTGTATCGCTAGTATTTGGCAATTTCCGCAACTCCTTCCTTCCTAGTCTTTTATCGCTAGTGTTTGGCAATCTTCTTTTCCTTTGGTTCAGGAGTGTTTCTGCAATTAAAAAATATGTTACTTTTCATCGTTAAAATGTGGATCTAACAATATGTATCTAAGAAATTAAAATTGCAAAAACAAACACTTCTAGATAAAAAGAAAGAAATATAAAGTTAAAACAATAAAACATGATTCCGGGAGTTAATAACTTGATCATGGATATCAAAATAGATCAATTTCAATCCTTATATTTACTTACTTACATTTTTGAAAGCGTGCGAAAGAATGAAAATCGACGTGCAATTAAATTTACGCAATGCCTTTTTGTTTAATAGAAAATGTAGATGCATACAAAGCAGTTAGAAAAAGAGAGCATAAGCGAGAAAAATTTGGAAGACATGATTTATAAAATGAAATGTGGCATGCCAACACATCATATAGTATTTTCTTACACATAAGGCACATTATGTTCATGTCTCCTTTTAATCTGCCCTTTTCACTCCCCACTTCTTTATTTTCCTTACAATTATTTTTTATTTTTTTTCTTTACAAACTTCAAATTTGTTAAAAAAAAAAAACTTAAAACCATATACTTTTTTTTTGAACAACTAAAAATGAACTTTTTTTTGAACAACTAAAAATGAACTTTTTTTTATAAACTTTCCCATTGGATAGGAGTGTTGTATTAATCAAAAGATGGTTTTCAATATTACAACACGAGGGTAAAGGTTACCCTTCAAAAATATAGCTAGGTGATGATAAATACAGTTCACCTGCCACTACCCAAAGCAAAAACATCCTAGCTTACAAAAAAAAATTAGCTTTATCATACTTGATTCTTATACTAGGAACTTGACTTTTATCCAAAAGAAATGGTCCCTTCGCTGCCTTGGGTAGTTGTTGGCTGGAGAAGAAAAAAGCTCCATTTTGAGCCTTGTTCGCCAGTTTTGCTAAGCGGTCCGCTAACTGGTTTGCTTCTCTGTAACAATGGTTGATGTTAATGTTTGTTGTGCTCCTCATTTGTGTTATCCCCTCAGTGATATTAGCCATTATGTAGTTCGTTTCTTTCTCCCCTTTTAACATATCAATGACCAATAGAGAATCCATCTCTAAAGTGAACGATGTGTGCCCATTTTGAATACACCAGGTAATACCAAAAAACGCAGCATAAGCTTCCGCAGGGTTGTGGTTGTTACAGCTGTACAGAAAGGAGAAAGCCGTTATAATATCACCATTGTCCCTTCTAAGAGCTCCTCCCACTCCAACACTCATATCCCTTATGTTGAAGCTTCCATCAGTGTTTAATTTGAGAGAACCCAATTCTGGTTTTTGCAATTGGACTAGAATGCAACTTTATTTGGGTTGCATCTTCAGTAAATTGTCACATAAATTATTCCAAGGCTGCCTGAGGTTGCAATTTGGATAGGACTTGTTGATGGCACCTTCCACATTCCAACCAATTTGTTGTTGCAATTTGTACAGGTTGAATTTCTTCTGATCTCCATACCTGCAAGCACAAGTTTCCTTCCACAATACCCAACATATAATAATAGGAGTAATAGTTAAAACCAGTTTATTTACATCATTAAAAGCTTTTGTATGCCACCAGGTATGTAACATATTTCTAATAGGGTGGGGATGATAGCTAATACCAAGTTGAGAGCCAAAAAGTTTCCAAACATAACTGGATGTTTGTCCTTCTACAAATACATGGTGCATGTTTTCATAAGAGGGGTTCTTGCAGCAGTTACACCTAGAAATAATTTGTCTCCCAAACCTAGAATTAACTTCATCAAAAGGGAGTTTCCCTTTCCAAAACCTCCAGACCAGAAAAGACATATTAAGAGGTACACATGAATTCCAAATCTTACCAATGTGGTGCTGCTTAGGTCTAGATTGCCTTACCAGATTCCAAGCTGTCTTGTTGGAGTACATGCCATTATCTATAAGATCCCAATAAATCTTATCCTTTTTGTCTTGGGTTTCAATATTTATGCTAAGTATATGGTCAACCAGGTGCTCTGGAAGGACATTTTCCAGCTTAGTAACATCCCACCTTCCTCCAGTGATGAATTCACATACCAGAGTTTTGTAGTTCTTTCTAGTTGTATTAACTAAAACTGTGAGATGACCTTTTAAGGTCCAATTGTCCCACCAAAAACTACTTGATCCTAAGTTTATTTTCCAAACTATGTGTTTCTCTGCACTGCTTCTAACTTTAAGAATATGTTTCCATGCATGAGAGTTCCCAAATTAAGTGAGATCTAATACAGTATTTATGCCTAATATATTTTGTCCAGAGAGATGATGTGGACCTAATCCTCCAGCATCTCTTCATATCCAGCATATCACTGATATCTTCCTTTTTTCGAACACCAATGCCCCCTCATCCCTAGGGACAGAGAGGTTGTTCTAGGAGATTCAATGGTACCTCCTGTGCTCACTTGAGTTACCCTAGAAAAAGTTAGCAAAATATGTTTCAATTAGTTTAAAAGTAGCTTTGGGGGCTTGGGGGGCATAGAAGGTATAGTGTAAATAGGCAAAGATTGATGGACACTTTTGATCATAACAGTCTTACCACCATATGACAATAGTTTGCCCTACCAACCGTTAATTAAGCCTTTTCACAATTTTACAAAGCAAGATGTCAAAGTATTCAGATCTTTTTCTACCCACGTAAAGAAGACAACCAAGATAGTTAAGAGGAAAATTCTTATCCGTAAAATCAGAGCACTTCTTAATTCTATTAGTCCTGTTTGCAGAAGTCTTATGAGCAGTAAAAAAAAAGCTTTTGCCTCTATTAACCAATTGACCAAAGCTATCCTCATAATTACCAATTTGTTTCATAAGAAGCTTAATAGACTTAGAGTTACCATTACAGAAAATTACAATATCATCTGCATAGGCTTATGGTTAACTTTTGGAACCTTATTATACATAGCAAAGGAAGTAAAATTAGGGTGATTGTACAAGTTGTTAAGAGACCTGGAAAGAACTTCAACAACTATAATAAAAAGAGAAGGGGATAGGGGGTCTCCTTGTTTAAGATCTTGAGAAGATGAGAAAAAATCATGTCTAGATCCATTAATAATGATGGAGTACCACACATTTTAAATCAGATTTTGAACCATGTCTATCCAATCATTGGAGAAGCCAAATTTGCTTAACATAGAGTAGAGAAAGTGCCATGACATTCTATCATATGCCTTATCCATATCAAGCTTAATGACAACATTACCTCCTTTATTCTTGTCAGAGATATTATGAATAATCTCTTGAGCTAAAAGAATATTTTCATAAATTAGTCTATCTTTCACAAAGCTACTTTGATTAGGGAAAATTAATTTATGCAACAAAGGATTAAGCCTTATTGAAAATTTTTTAGAGATGATTTTGTTAGAGAAATCATACCATTATGATTTCTAGGGTATGATTTCTAATTCTATTTATCTGTTGCTTCCTCCTTTTTTCCCTGAGAATGTAGTGGAAATACTTGGTATTCTTGTCACCATCTTCAAATCATTTTATTATAGACTTCTGCTTGAGAAGAGAGTCTTGGACGCTTAACTATCTAATGTTTTCGGCATGGGCTCTGTTCATTTCTTCTCTACTCTCTTCTATATTGTTTTCAATATCCTTATCCTCTAAATATTGAAGTTTCACTTCCCAGTTGTTAACTGCCTCATTAATATGCCAATGTCTTCCCTGGACCATTGTTTTAATTTCATACTGAGAGCCTTCAGCTTTGATTGCAAAATCCACATGGGATTACCTGAAACCTTAGAATTCCAACTTTATTAACAAAATTATAAACACTAGGCAGATTTAACCAACAATTGAGGAATCTAAAATATTTAATGTAGTTGTAGTTCGCATAGAGATTTTTCATGAGTAAAGGTCTATGGTCAGAACCAGTCCTAGACATGTGTCTAATTGAACATCTTTGAAAGTGATATCCCATAGATCATTCACGAAGACTCTATCCAATATCTTCCAAATTCTCTTCCTAGATCTCCTGTTATTGCATCAAGTAAACTTAGGTCCAGAGTAGCCAATATCTGTAATGCCACAACTATCTATACAATTCTGA